AATCAAAAAATCAGCCGGGCGTGGTAACGCATGCCTGTAATTCCGGCTACGTGGAAGGCTAAGGCAGAAGGATCACCGGAGCCCAGCGGGTCGAGGCTGTAGTGGCTGGGAGCAGCCACTGCACTCCAGTCTGAGTGACAGAGTGAGACTCCAACTCAAAAAAAAAAATCACACCTCGTGTGTTAGGGATCCTCTGTTTGTTCATCTGATCCACTTCTACCTTTGCCCTCCCAGCATGTGCCCTGGGAGCTTACCTGTGGACTAGGGCAGCACTTTCTTGCCCTCTGCCTTTCTGGAGGACTCAGATGATGGGAAGCCCAGAATGACATCCGAAAGGGAGGCCAGCCTCTGTTCCAGTTTTGTAAGATCACCTCAGGCTGCTCAGGCCCCTCTCTAGAGAGGGTGCAGTTCCTATCAGGGCAGCTCCCTCTGCAGGGATTAAGGGAACTGAGCCTTCCTTTCCTCCCTGGAACCTAGCTGTTGCTAGCCCAGTGATTACACCATCTCTTATCATGTCCCCACAGCCCTCCATCCACACCTTTGTGATGTGTCTTCATCAAATCCTTAAATTAGCACAATGTGAGTGCCATATGTTTCTCTGTTCTTTTTAAGATTAGAAAATATAGTCTATTTAGAAAGTAAATGAGAGAGAGTGAGAGAAAGAAAGGGGAGATTCACCTCTCCAAGGCGGAGAAGGGAGTCAAAGCCAGGATACATGGCGACAGCCATAGCTCAAAGAGCATGTGGCCACACCAGAATCTAGTAAGGCAATGGCCTATTTCTTTCTTTTTGAGTCAAAGTCTCACTCTGTTGCCCTGGGCTGGGAGTGCAGTGGCACGTTCACGGCCACTGCAGCCTTGGCCTGCTGGGCTCAGGCAATCCTGCCTCAACCTTCCAAGTAGCAGAAACCATAGGCATGTGCCACCATTCCCGGCTAATTTTTTGATTTATTGTAGAGACGAGGTCTTGCCAAGTTGCCTAGGCTGGTCTTGAACTCCTGGATTCAGGCAATCCTCTCGCCGCCTCCTCCTAAAATGCTGGGATCGTAGCCGTGAGTCACCATGCCCAGCTGAGTGCCATCTGTTTCTTATTGTGAACTAATATACACTTCCTCCTTAGCCTTAAAAACCACTTCGTTCAAGAAACTTTCACTCTTACATCTTACAAGATGTGAATTCTCCTCCTCTGAACATAACACTACTTTGTCTAATGGCATTAATTCAACTCTGCATTTTATTTAGGGGTTGTCTAATCCCCTCTTTTCAGTATAAAGTCTGTAAGGACAGAGGGACCAGCTTATTTATCTTTGTCTCCCACAATACCCAGCAGTATCTTACTAGATATTTGATACATTATTTGCCAAATAAATGAATTGTTTTGACCATATCTCCCAAGAGTTATTTTGAGTCCTTACTCACTTGAGAAAGGAAGTGGGATTTTGCAAAGAATGGAAAAATTAAGGTCTTCCTATAGTCAAATCCACAGAGGACTGACATGACCATATTGATTTCTACTTGACTACATCTTCAATAGCTAATCCTCAGGAGAATTAGAGGAAAATGACTTGGTTGAATTTCAGATAGCAAGATTCTATGTAACATTTCAAACATTCTACATTCTATATCTACTTCTTTCAAAGTTCCCTTACAGGCTGGGTGCAGTGGCTCACACCTGTCATCCCAGCACTTTGAGAGGTCAAGGTAAGAGAATTGCCTGAGCATACAGATTCAAGACCATCCTGGGCAACATAGTGAGACATCTCTACAATCAATCAAAATTAGCCGGGTGTCATGGCGCATGCCTGGGTTTCCAGTAACTTGGAAGGCTGAGGAGGGAAGATCACCTGAGCTCAGCAGGTCGAGGCTGCAGTGGCCGTGAGCGTGCCACTGTACTCTAGCCTGGGCGACAGAATGAGACTCCAATTCAACAAAACCCCCAAAATAAAGTTCCCTTTCTCCAATAGGACTTTTCTGTTATGCCTCACTTTGCTATGATGGATGCTTTATGCCACAATCAATTCAAATATCACATAATATGTAATTTTCATTCACTTCTATTTTATAATTATTTACTAGTTTCTTTCATCAATTTGTCTTTGCAGGGAACATGTTTTCTGCTTCTTTAGTATCTCACCGTACTCTGGTTGTTTCCAAGTGGTAAGTGCGCCATTAATAGATCACCAGAATTCTGAGAAGCTTAGAAAATCCACTCTTCTTTATTTCCTAAAATATGGTTTCAAAACATAGAGCTATCTTCTTTGCAAGAAGGTACCAAAATCTATCTTTATGTTAGGGTAACATTTAGAGAGGCATAAGAAAGTATTATTATTATTACTATTCAAAACAATGAATAATTTACAAAGTCCTTCATTATATTCCTAAAAATGCACAGCTTCTGGGAGAAGTGTTTGCATTAACTCACCATCAGTTTTTTTAGAAAGCATGCATGGCTCTTCTTCTATTGATATCTCTCTTGATTTGGCAAACAGAACACACAGGACAGCAAAGGGTCGCCATAAAGTCGTCACAAATAGATCCCTGTTTGAAAATATAAAAGAAATAGAAATATAAAATTCACCTATTTGGATTCCTTTGGATTCTGAGTTTCCTAAATGTAGCTTATAATTCTGAAGATTTAAGGACATCCAGCCAGGTGCAAGTGGCTCAAGTCTATAATCCCAACACTTTGGAAGGCCGAGGTGAGAGAATTGCCTGAGTTCAGGAGTTTGAGACCAGTCTGAGCAACATGGCAGGACCTCGTCTCTACAATAAATCAAAAAATTAGCAGGCGTGGTGGCACATGCCTGTGGTTCCAGCTACTTGGAAGCCTGAGGCAGAGGATCACCTCAGCCCAGCAGGTTGAGTCTGCAGTGGTCGTGAGCGTGCCACTGCACTCCAGCCTGGGCGACAGAATGAGACTCTGATTCAAAAAAAAAGGAAGATATTCAACCAAACTGTCAAGTATAAGGATAGAATATCGAGTTTCAAGAAGTAGAATTTCAAAATTCTTTTCTCCTGTGCCTCCTCCCTGTCACAGGAAGTTACTACAGGATCTGCTCCACCAAAGTGAGGATGTAAACCAAGAAAGAGGAGGACGTGAGATCTGAGGAATGGCAGTCAAACGGGAGAGAAGCCTACAGAGTCTCCTGGGTCACAGTGAAGGGAGAACTCAGGATGAGACTAAGCACTAGGAATAAAGGGCAGCTACTTCAAAAGAGAGTAGGGCCAGAAGAGATGGCATCAAAATGAAAATGACAAAACGTCTGCTGTGCAGAAGAGATTTAGAAAACCAGTCAAAAATTTGGGATTAAAATACGCATAAGGAGATGGAGGAAAACTACTAATGGAAAAAATAGTCTAATACCAGGAAAAGCAATTATTTTCAGTATATGACTCAACTCTGAAGCTGAACAAAACAAATACAGGTACACTGCAAATGCTGAATATGGAATTTTCCAAAATTACATCCTTTAGAGGAAAAGGGGGGAGGAGGAGAGTGCATGTGTATGCTGGGGGAGGGGGAGAAAGCAGAACTAAGTCCTCATCCTCCATGGTGGGAGGTCAGCAGACACTGCCCCTAACGGGAAGGTCAAACAATGTGAGAGACAAGGCTGTGATCTGGACATATGGGGGATGACACCAAGGATTCAGCCCTGGGAAAGGAACAGAAGGGGGGAAGTTTGGGTTTTTCTTAACTAACCTTGTAAAATTAGATGATTTTAAAAACACTGTTTCTGGCCAGGTGTGGTGGCTCAAACCTGTAATCCCAGCACTTTGGGAGGCCGAGTTGAGAGGACTGCCTAAGTCCAGGGGTTTGAGATCAGCCTGGGCACCCTGGTGAGACCTCATCTCTACGATAAATCAAAAATTAGCTGGGCGTGGTGGCGCGTGCCTGTGGTTCCAGCTACTTGGAAGGCTGAGGCGGAAGAATCGCCTGAGCCCAGTAGGTCGAGGCTGTGGTGGCCGTTAGAGTGCCCGCTGCAATCCAACCTAGGCGACAGAGTGAGACTCTGACTCTTAAAACAAATAAAAAATAAAAATAAAAGAATTTTAAAATGTTTTTTTAAAAAGAAAACACTGTTTCAGAACTTTGATAAATGTAAAGAAAATTGCCGGGCTCGGTGGCTCAGCCTGTAATCCCGCGCCTTTGGGAGGCTGAGGTGAGTAGATTGCCTGAGCCCACGGGTTCGAGACCCACCTGGGCAGGTGAGACCTTATCTCTACAATAAATCAAAAAATCAGCTGGGCGCGGTAGCGCATGCCTGTAATTCCGGCTATTCGGAAGCCTGAGGCGGAAGGATCGCTGGAGCCCAGCAGGTCGAGGCTGCGGTGGCCGGGAGCAGCCACTGCACTCCAGTCTGGGCGACAGCGTGAGACTCCAACTCAAAAAAAAAATAATAATAATAATAATTAAAGAAAATTAAATCTGTATTGTATTGAAAAACAAGGAATGGCGTATTTATTTATTTACTATTTTTTGAATTGGGATCTCACACTGTTTTCCAGGTTGGATTGCAGTGATATTATCACAGCTCACTGCAGCCTCGACTCCCTGGGCTCAGGTGATCCTTCCACTTCACTTCAGAGTAGCTGAGACTATAGATACACTCCACCATGCTTAACTAAGTTTTTAATTTTTTATAGAGACAAGGCCTTACTATGTTACTTATGCTGGTCTCAAACTCCTAGGCTCAAGCAGTCCTTCTGCCTCAGTCTCTCTAAGTGCTGGGATTACAGATGGAAGCCACCGTGCCCGGCCACTGGTGGCATTTAACAGGTCAGAAATTGTGAGCAATTTGGGGGAAGTACGAAACAGACAGGATTACACTGATGGAGAAAGCAAAACAATGCCAAGGAACATGAGACTGTATACAGTCATGGGCAGGGCACCAGACAGAGCCTAATCTCCCAAAGTGCTGGGTTGCAGGCGTGAGCTACCATGCTGCAATCCTCTCAAAAGTTTTTTGATCTAACTAATAAAAATTAAACTAAAACAACAATGAAATTGTCACTTAGCCTATAATCCCGCGCCTTTGGGAGGCTGAGATGAGTGGATTGCCTGAGCCCGCGGGGTTCAAGACCCACCTGGGCAGTGAGACCTCATCTCTACAATAAATCAAAAAATCCGCCGGGCGTGGTAGCTCATGCCCGTAATTTCGGCTACTCAGAAGGCTGAGGCGGAACGATCGCCGGAGCCCAGCAGGTCGAGGCTGCGGTGGCCAGGAGCGGCCACTGCACTCCAGTCTGGGAGACTGGAGTGAGACTCCAACTCAAAAAAAAAAAAAATAAATTGTCACCCAGCTGGAGTGCAGTGACACACTCAAGGCCACCACAGTCTCTACCTGCTGGGCTCAGGTGATCCTTCCGCCTCAGCTTTCCAAGTAGCTGGAAGTACAGGATTTGCCAGCTTCCACAACTGTGTGACCCAATTTCTTGAAATATCATGTCCCCTACTGCCTCTATATATACACATATATAGACGTATAGAGAGAGGCGTTTCTATGTGTATACACAGAGGAAGTCATAGACGTACACTTCCAGAGATAAAGACACATGTGAGCCTACTTCACTTTAATGTGCTTTGCTTTACTGTGTGTTGCAGGTACTCGTGTCTCTGTGTCATATTTTGGTAACTTTTGCAATATTTCAGGCTTTTTTGTTCTTGTAACATCTGTTATGGTGACCTGTGATCAGTGATCCTTGGTAACTGTGTTGGGGTGCCATGAACTGTGTCCATGGAAGGCGAATCCTTAACTGATAAATAAATGCTGTGTGTGTTCTGACTGCTCCACCACCCAGCCATTCCTCGTCCCCCTCCTCCTCCTGGGGCCTCCCTATTTCCTGAGACTCAACAATACTGAAATGAGGCCAGCTAATAGCTCGATAATGATCTCTATGTGTACAGGTGAAAGGAAGAGTCGCAAGCCTCTCACTTTATTTATTTTTTATTTTTTGAGTTGGAGTCTCACTCTGTTGCCCAGACTGGAGTGCAGTGGCCGCTCCTGGCCACCGCAGCCTCGACCTGCTGGGCTCCGGCGATCCTTCTGCCTCAGCCTTCCAAGTAGCCGGAATTACAGGTGTGCGCTACCACGCCCGGCTGATTTTTTTTTTATTTATTGTAGAGATGAGGTCTCGCTGCCCAGGCGGGTCTTGAACCCGCGGGCTCAGGCAATCCACTCACCTCAGCTTCCCGAAGGCGCGGTATTACAGGCTGAGCCACCGAGCCCAGCTGCCTCTCACTTTAAATCAAAAGCTAGAAACGATTAAGCTCAGTGAGGAAGGCCTGTTAAAAACAGAGAGGCCGAAAGCCAGACCTCTTGCACCAGACGGCCAAGTTGAGAATGCAGTGGAAAAGTTCTTGAAGGAAATCAAAAGTTCGACTCCAGTGAACACAGGAATTATAAGAAAGCGAAACAGCCTTATTGCTGATCTGAAGAAAGGGTGAGTGGTCTGGATAGAAATCAAACCAGCCACAGCATTCCCATAAGCCAAAACCTCATCCAGAGCAAGGACCCCGACTCTTTTCAACTCTGTGAAGGCTGAGAGAGGCGAGGAAGCTGCAGAAGAAAAGTTGGAAGCTAGCAGAGGTTGGTTCATGAGGTTTAAGGAAAGAAGCCGTCTCCAAAACATAAAAGAACAAGATGAAACAGCAAGTGCTGATGGAGAAGCCGCAGTAAGTTCTCCAGACGATCTAGCTAAGGTCATTGAAGAAGGGGGCTTCACTAAACAACAGATTTGCAGTGCAGATGAAACAGCCTTACATTGAAAGAAGATGCCATGGAGGACTTTCATAACTAGAGAGGAGACGTCGATGCCTGTTTTGTTGTTTTTGTTTTGCTGAGTTGGAGTCTCACTCTGTCGCCCAGGCTGGAGTGCAGTGACACGCTCACGGCCAGTGCAGCCTCGATCTGCTGGGCTCAGGTGATCCTTCTGCCTCAGCCTTCCAAGTAACTGGAACTATAGGCGCACACTACCACACCTGGCTAAGTTTTTGATCTATTGTAGAGACGAGGAATCACCAAGTAGCCCAGGTTGGTCTCGAACCCCTGGGCTCAGGCAGTCTTCTTGCCTCTGCCTCCCAAAGTGCTGGGATGACAGGCTTGAGCCACCATGCCTGGATAATGCCTGGGTTTAAAGCTTCCAAAGATAGACCGACTCTCTTGTTAGGTCATGCTGCTGTGACTTTCAGCTGGAGCCAGTGCTCACTGACCATTCTGAAAATCCTGGGCCTTTAAGAATTATGCTGAAGCCGGGCTCGGTGGCTCAGCCTGTATGTAATCCTGCACCTTTGGGAGGCTGAGGTGAGTGGATTGCCTGAGCCCACGGGTTCGAGACCCGCCTGGGCAATTTGGCGAGACCTCATCTCTACAA